ATAGAAGCCACTACTGCAGCATAATAGCCATTCATTTTATGGATGAGATGAATGAATACCATTTCTCAAAGCATCATCTTCTGGTGCCATTTTGGTGCAGTAGGATATTTTTTTTTTTGTAGTACCCCTGTACCAAAACCCTTGCACGTAGAGCTAAGAACCCAGCACATGACATATATTTTTCAATAACGGGTAATGTTTAAAAACATTGCTGTGCATGGTTTGTGAATATATGTATCTGGGGACACCAGTTTTACTTTGTTACATATGCAGACTACGTCTATAGTTCACCAATAACGTACAGCCATTGTGCCTCACAGCTCCTGTTCCAAAAAACATCTATGTGCAAAGTCTAGAAAACAACAAAAAGTCCTTAAAAGAGATCCATTTTCAGCTGACAGCTGGCTAAAACACTGTCAGCTTATGTCACTCAATTGGTCCAGGCTCTGAAAAGATCCTGACTTTAAAGTCAGAATCCACCCAGAAGCCTGGACCAGCACCTGGCTCAGGATCTCAGCGAGCAGCTCCCGCCCTCTCCACATCCAAATGCTCCAGTGAGTTCTGGATGGGCAGAGCAGAAAGCCGCTGACTGAGAGCCACTGATCTCTGCTCAAAGCAGAGAGAACTGAGTGATCAGCGGTGTTTGAGGTGGTGGGGAACAGATGCAAAATTGGATCAATGTTGCACCTCGAATCAATACTGCATTCACCTATGTGAAAATAAATCTTTATTTTTTTTTTTTTTTCAAAAGCCATACTTCTCTTTTAACTGAGTATATGCCTTGTTTATACAGATTCGCTTTAATGCAGACCTCTATGGGAATGTATACCAATCTACCTTTCGTTCTGATCAGTTAAATTGCCAGGAGCAAAAGGAAAGACTGAAAGATCAGCATCAAATCTTAAATCAGAAATCTTTATTTCAGCACTTGTTCTAAGCCAGAGAGTCAAATTATGAAAGCCAAAGTGTCACTATAACAGCCAAGTAACTAGCACTTGCATTAGCTTTAAAATTTGGGGCACTATAATATGAAAATGTCAACATTTAATGGTGAACCTGAAATCTGAGTTGCCCTTTCCTAGGGTTCCGCACTTCCACTCACAAAGCCCCACTCTCTTATCCTCTTGAAAACCAAGTGCATAACCTCCAAAAAAGCCTGTTCCAACTCTCACTGCCAGATGCTACTATAAAAAGGAACGAACTACAAGTATATTCAGTAAAATTGTAGGAATCAAACCCTGCCAGGTGTCCATTCCTTCTGAAGGGTGGAGTCTTGGAAGGATGTGACTTGTACACCTTTGCTGAATAAATCTGCAATTAGGTGGACGTACTAGAGATGTTCAATACTTCCCGGATAACCAGTGAAGTCACCCATCACAGCGATGGGCAAACTGGAAGATGCAAGAGGTGGATATTAGAATGGATAAGGATTTGGAAATTTCAGTGAAGGCAGATGCAGGCAACTCTAGGGGCCTGCTTAATACTAATGTAATCAAAACAGCATATTTTAAAAAAAAATTACAAGTTTGTGTTAAATATGGATAGTATTCAGCTCCCTGAAACAATGACGACAACTTCACAGAGCATTTACAAATTTATAAAGGATATAGATAATAAAAATACCAAACAGAAAGCAAGTGAAATGTAGCCAATTTTTTTTTTTTGCAATTGCAAATTTTACAATAATAATGAAAAATTAATGCACACTAAACTAATATTATAGATTCCCTAACATGATGACTACATAATACAGACATGACAACTGTCTACTAAGAGTTGGTCCTCTTTGTTAAACGGTAATCTAAACAGAGGTCAATAAAGAAGTCATTGCATACCACATTACATTAATTATGAAGCCAGACAGTCTGCAACAATCACCAGTAATACCTAATCATCAGTTCACCGATTCTCATGCTGAAATGAATCAGCAATTACATAATGAAAATTAACAACATAATTGTTTTTCTTAATGCATGTTCAAAGGAATATCAACTCCAGTTTTCTACTAGATGCTACAAAAAACCAACAAACCTGGGCGACTTAGACAGGGGTGGGGATAAAGAAAGACTGGGATACATACTGTCATTTCATCAATTCAGAAAGACAACTATAATCAACAAGGACAAACAGGCCACGGTCTTCCAAAAAATGCAAATCCTGCATCCTTGGCAAACCGCAGGTCACCCTTTTTCTAAAATATACATTCATTTCTATAATTAGCCAGCAGTTTAAAGTGGGTAGCATATAAATACAAGTAATATGAAACTACGCTGAACTGAAATGAAAGCAGCCGCAGCAGCTTTCACCCTAACAACACAGTTGTGGAATGTGACACCTAGGAGAAGAAGGATAGAAAGTATGGCTAAATCATTTATTCATTAATACCTTACCAACACAATGTGGGGAACCAGTCTCAACAGTTCTTTTAGCAGCGGAGCTTACAGTCTAATTTTCCTACCATAGTCATTAAGTAATTCATTGAAGATGGCATTCCCAGTGTGAACTCCCAACAGAAGCCTGCTACAAGACTCAGTCACCTCATTAGTGTTTTCCGTCTACTTAGTACTATATATGCACCCAATAATATAGTTTTACATATGTAAAATGAAAGTAATTTTACTCAAGTTTATATTTTGGAAAATTGCTGCAAGAAAATGTTTTGGGCATGTAGCAAGTAATAAAACCTGCCTAGAAGTGTCCACAGACCTCCACTAATAGCTTGGCTGTACCAGTCAGGAGAGATTTTTTGCAGTTTCTTGCTTAAAGGCACATGATTAGAAAGTATAGATTTCAGTTTATATTTTAGTGGTTTTTTTTTCTGCTCCTAGAAGATAGTGTTATCCTATGTGTCCATGCACACTACTTTAGGCTATTAGCATTTTTTGCACTTCAGCATCTAGGAGCTGGAAAAAAAAAACTGGTTTTGTAAAGTTTTCTGGAGCGTTTTTTCCAGCAGAAAAAAAAACCTTAAATGCTCCTAAATGCTACTAAAACACTTTAAACAGATTTTTTTCTACATGTACTGTAAAAACGCAAATAAAACGCTAATGCTCCTAAACGCTACTAAAAAACACACTATTACCAGCGCTTTTTATCCAGCGTTCTTTCCAGCATTTTTTAAGCTTAATAAAAAAAAAAACGCTAGTGTGCATAGAGCCTTAAAGTTTTGGATACAGCGTGCAAGGGTTAGAACCTCTGTATATGGTTGTAATGTCCACCTTGAGAGATTTCTCCACACTCTGACAGCTGTCAGGTAGAACACATGAGGAAAAACAATCTAAACCTTCCCACTATTCAATAGGAAGCAGACAGAAGAAATACCTCATCTACTGTATGTCTATAAAAAAAAAACAACAATAAAAACACATTTTCCAATAGACTGATGGGAGGGGGGGGGGGGGTGGGGGTAAGTTGTGTTCTGCTAAAATGTCTTAGGGTAACAGCTCTGTTCCTTCATAGAAAGCTTCCTGTTGTACAATGAGCGTTGTCATTGTACAATAGGAACTGTGCAGAATCAACAGCTAAAATAAAAGGAAACAAATTTAAAGAGATAACAAGCTCTCCCATTATTTCTGCAGTCCACGTTGCAGTGAAATCAGAAGGGAAAGTGGCCTCATTTGGCCTTGGGGCAAACATATGAGATAAGACAAAAAAAAAATGGTTGAAGACATCTTGCGCTGGACACTGAAAGAAACATAGCCACAGAAATCAGTGCAATCATACCACACCTTTCAGAATGTCATATGAACAAGAATGCTATGGTCAACCAGAAGGCACTTACTGGTGCCCACACTGCTACATAAACAACACTGACCATCAACTTATATCTATGGATGTCTCCAGCCAAAATATTCATAAACCACTCAGCAAAACTGTAAAACTGAAATACCACATTTGGGTTTAGTTAGTGTTACTCCTATAAGGCACAGAGATTAAATTGCTTTATGAGTTGCAGATACAATTCTGAGGAACACAAAGCAGAGGAGGAAGCAGAGACTATATAACTAATGTGTCTTTTGCCGTAAGCAAGAGCCATCTAATTAACTGCAGTTGTTAGCTCTGATTGCAATAAACAAAATACATCCACTCCTTATCATCCAATTACCTCTTTGTGTGATGTCATTCAAACTGAAAATACAAGGCAAGAATTCCTTTATGCCAGATATAGCAGGAATCTTTACAGCCCATTTCCTACAAAGTCATAAACAGTCCCAAATTGTGACATCCTACACCTGACAGCCCATGCACATACAGTATGTACCGTTCTAAACTTCCCAAAAGCCAGCCTGTTCAAACAAACTTCTCCAGGTGGATTCATGGTATTCATGCTGTACTTCAAACACTAGATTACTACATATTGTAATAAAGCAGGAATACATTTTCTGTGAACAATCCCCTCACATGCCTCTTTCAGCTTATGCCGTCATTCACCCTTAACATATCCAATCTTCAGATTGCTTTTCCCACAGGTGGGCAACGGAGGAAAGCAAATTAATATGACTTCTAAGGTCGTTCTCAGGTTTTTAACATAAATTCAGTGACCATCATTGGTACATTCGATTCTATTTACCTACAGCTACATTTACTTTAAAAATTTTACCTGTTCTTTGTGTCCTGCTTTACCTTACACAGAGCTAGAGTCTGCAGGTGTAAGGCCTCATGAACAGTCAATTATTTTTTACTCCCCTAGATGCCAGCAGCATGTTGGCCAAAAAAACTCTTGGTGCTTGTGTACTGCGTTACCGCATCATGCGTTTGGGGGTTAATTAAAATAATTGGCCATAATAAATCATTTATCCTGGCCATTGAAATAAATCCAACACTCAAGCACTAAACGAACCTAGCATTTAAGTGCATTTACACGCGTTTAAGCACGTCAAACGTTTTTTCAGCCAAAACGCTGCTGCTCCAGGACACTCTGGCAGTGGGTTATTTTTTTTTCTGCCACTAAATGTTGCTAAAATCATATGTGTGACACCCCTAGCAGCAGTTGTAAAAATGTCCAGTGTGCGTGAGCTTAAAAAGGCAATATGGATGCACCCACATATGTCCACTGGTGATGTAAAGGCTTGGATGCAGCTGCTCGGCCATGGAAACCCGTTCCATGAAGCTCCCTACGCACTGTTGTGCTAATCTGAAGGCCACACGAAGTTTGGAGGTCTTTAGCTATTGATTTTGCAGACAGCTGGCAACTTCTGCGCACTGTGCACTTCAGCATACGCTGACCCCTGGCCTACCACTTTGTGGCAGAGTTGCTGTTGTTCCCAGTTGCTTCCACTTATAATACCACTAACAGTTGACCGTGGAATATTTAGTAACAAGGAAATTTCACAGATGGACCTGTTGCACAGGTGGCAACCTATCACAGTACCGCACTTGAATTCACTGAGCTCCTGCGAGTGACCCATTCTTTCATAAACGTTTGTAGAAGCAGTCTGCATGCCTAGGTGCTTGATTTTATATACCTGTGGCCATGGAGGTGATTGGAACACCTGAATCCAATGATTTGGAGGGATGTCCCAATACTTTTGGGTATATAATTACAAGCTATATGCAGAAAAGGTTTGTACCTTTTAAGGTGCATTGCCGCTCTTCAAGCAACCTTTGCCTCCCATTGACTTGTATGGGGAGAAAAGCGGTTATGATGCAAACAAAAGCCCTTTCGATTGAAGCGGAGTTCCAGTCATTTTTATGTTAAAAGTCAGCAGCTACAAAAACTGTAGACGCAGACGACTTTTAAAAAACACACACTCACCTGTCCCAGCATCCAGCAATGTGCTCACCCATGCCTTCCTATCTGTCCCTGGTGCTGGCACCTCAACCGTGGGCACCCGGCTGTGAGCGCTCGCAGCCTCACCGCCAGGTGCCCACTGCGCGTGCGTGAGTCACGCTGTGCCCCGATTGGTCTAGCAGTCTTCTGGGATCTGTGAAGTGTCCCAAAAGACTGCGGGGGTAAGGAGGGGGGCCAACTTTCTGGCTTAGTTCTCCACAGCGAACTGAGCTGAAAGTGTGAGCGGGTCCATGTCAAAACCAGGTATCTGATCCCCACAGAAAAAGTGCCAAATGTGACAGTGGAGGGGGGGAAAGAAACAGACAAATGGAGCTTCCCCTTTTGAGTGGAGCTCCGCTTTAAGGCCAAAACAAGTTTTTTTTTTTCTTCAAACGTTACCACACGATAGCATTATAACATAATTTACAACCTGATCTCTATCATTTCTATACCTTGCAAGGATGCATGCACATTATCATTCAGAGTGCCAAAATGCTAAGGGTCTTAAGTTCATGTTCAACCAATGACACATGATCTGTATGCGATATGAATATTTCCCCTCCCTGTTTGATAAGGTTTCAGTTTCCTTCCACAAACCAAAAACACATTGGTAAGCTGTCTTCCTCCTAGTCTGGCCTCTAGTGTGTCACAGTTTAAAAGTCCTTCAGGTGACTGGACACTGGCAAAATCTTTGCTGGCATTGCCCCCCCAGTGCACCCTGAGGTCCTTTTCACGTCGACGTCATCCGTTCAGCCACATTTTTTCAAAAGAAAAACGGATTCAGTTTGCACATCCATCCTCAGTTTAGTTTACATCAATTTGTACTTCAGTTCAGTTAAAGAGGAACTTTATCCATACCAATCTGATAAAAAATAGTTATGCTAAAATTAGTGTGTGCTGTAAATTGCCTTTAGAATTGCTCCTGTTTCTTCTTGCTGGAGGCTGCCATTTTGCTGAACCCCTGAACAGCATTAAATCTTTAGGCTATCAGCAGAGCGGCCTCTACAAGTTCAGCACAGTGCCTAAAACTAGAGAGCAACTGAGCATATGAGGAGCAGGGTGAGACAGTGTATTACTATTTTAAACAGTATAGGCACTTATTTTTAATGTTTTACACATTGTAGCTATACCTGCAAAATGACATCCATTTACTCCTGTTTCTGGATGTTGGCTGTTCCGTTTAACCACTTGCCCTCCAGAGGATTTATCCCCATTCCTGACCAGACCATTGTTTGCGTTATGGCGCTGCGTTAATTTAACTGACAATTGCGCAGTCATGCAATGCTGCACCCAAATGAAATTAATGTCCTTTTTTTTCCCACGAATAGAGCTTTCTTTCAGCGGTATTTGATCTCCTGTGCAGGAGTTGACAGGGGAGAGAACTGTATTGTTTACTTATACTTTTCTCCCTCCGTCGGTAATGCTCCTCGATCACTGGGTGCCGGCGAGTGATCACTAGCCAAGACCCAGTGATTCACAGCCGAGGCCGCGGGGCAGGTAGAGCACGTGCCCCCTACCCGGAAATGCAAAATCACGTATATATATACATACACACACACGTGATTTTGCACAACCGTGCTGCCCTGTAGCAGTATTACTGCTATAGAGCGGACGGGATAAAAAAAAAAAAAAAAAAAAAAAAAAAAAAAGACATGGATGTAGGCAGATGTAAACGGATGACCATCCATGTACATCAGCCCACCTATAGACATACACTGTGATCTGGATCCATCTGAAAAACTGAAAGATCTAGACTGAACACCCATGTGAAAGAGGTCCTTCATAACCCCACCCACTCTTTGGGATTGCAGTTCTGTAGCAAGTAAGGAGAAAGACAGAACAGAGGGGAGGGCCCTGTGTCCTATATTGTATTCCAAGATGTGGAATTTACAGGTAAGTCCAAATTCACATTAACTTAATCTTACAGTATATGTCACAGAATGTGTAGTCATTGACCACAGGATGTCCCCAAACTGGGGGGTAGGCAACGATAGATCAAACAGAAAGGATTAACAGACCCACAATTTTTAGATGACAATTGAAACACCTTGTGTGCAAAGCTTGGATCAGCAGAGGACTGGAGATCAATCTAGTAAGATTTTGAGAAGGAATGAACAAAGGATTGTGTGGCAATTTTGTCAAACAAACACCAGCAGATCTAGTGGGGTGGGGGTGTGTCTTTGAGGACAAACCCTGTAAATAAGCTGCCCAAGCCCCCTAAATATGGTAGAAGAGGAAGCAAGATGACTCTGCTTGGAAATTTCAGAGAGGACAAAAAGGGAACCGGTTTTTAAAACTAAGATGTTTCAGCTAGGTAAGCCCACCACATCCACAGTAGTAAAAGGTGCTTTGGAGCAGGACAGAGTGAAGGGAGTATAATATCATTGAGGTGAAAGGAAGGGACCACATTGGGAAGAAAGGAAGGTCTGGGTCTCAGGACCAACTTATGACTATGAAGAGAAGGTTGTTTACAAGAGCCACCAACTCGGAAAAATGCCTGAAAAAGGTAATTGCAGCAAAAAAAGGTCACCTCACGGGTGAAATTCTCCAATGGGATATAATGAATCAGTTTAAAGGGAGGTTTCTGAACAATCTAAAGTAACAAAATTAGATCTCAGGGAGACACTGAAGGTCAAAGTGGTGGATTAACAATAGTGTGCGAAGCCAAAGGTCTTTGGAACACAATGGATAGGACACAAACCTGTCTCTTTAGAGTACAAAGACAGAATCTGGTCTAAACTAGACTGGAGAAAGGCCAGGATGCAAGGTATAGAATACTGTCAAATGTTGAGGTGTCTGCTTTCGCCTCAGCCAAACTAGGCCTTCCAAGTGCAATGGTAAATCTTAGAAGTAGATTTTCTTGCTTTGAGCAAGATAGGAATGATATGTTCAGTAATAACCCAGGGTTTCTACACCTTTTTTCAGTCAAGGCCCCCTCTACATTATGGACAGTCGCGAGGCACCCCATTCTAAAATGTAGTTTTATAAAAACACAGCAACATCCACACACGTAGGACACCCAACGTTCGAAGTGATTTATTCTTCCAAATCAAATACACTTTTGCACACTGGTCCTGACTAGTATTACAGTGTTTCTCTCAGTTCTGCATCACTAATTTGACCTCAGCACTGATGGAGAGGGGCAGGGGAGGGTCAAATAAGGATGCTGTGCAGGCAATTGACATCCTACTTATCAACTGATGATATCACTGGTTGTCAGGACTCCAGTGGCTAGAAGGTCGTAATGGCAATATGAAAACCTATGGCTTTGTATAACTAAAAGTCAGGCTTCTTCCACCCGCAGCCTTGTAAACAAGTTTTGTGCAACTTTTAGACATTTTGCCAAAGCACCCCTGAAGAAACTTCAACACACCCTGGTTGAGAAAGGCTCTAAGCAGTGGGAGGGCTGGGGGGTAGACATTTTGAAGTTGATCAGCCATCCAAAAGTTTAAAAGAGCTGAAACATCCTTTGAATGTTGGAAGAGAAGAATATGACTCAGAAGTCTCAGCAGCAGGTCATCTAGGTATTCCAGGACATGGATGTCCTGAGACCTTAACAGGGCTAGGCGAAGAGCTATCACCTTTGTGAAGACTCTTGGTGTGGAAAGGAGTCCAAAGGGGAAAAGGAAATATTGAAAGCATTGGTCTCCCACAGCAAAGTATAGAAAGCCGTGGTGCACAGGAAAGATGGGAATGTGAAGGTAGTCATCTTGTATGTTCACTGATGCCAGAAATTCCCCTGATCTGAGAGAAGTTTTGACATATCTTGCAGACGCTATGCAAAATTCTGTGTTCAGAGAATTTAAATCCAACAGGAGGTTTGGTTTTGGGATTGTAAATAGTTTTATAAAGTTGATTGAGTGCAGCCCGCAAGTATGCCTGTCTTTGAGAGGAAGCTGGCAGACTGGAGGTTAGGAATCAAGCAGGGGGGGCAGGTACAGAAATCCTATTTTGCAGCCCCTGGAAATGACAGATTAGACCCAGAGGTTCAGGACATCTCTGATCAAAACTGAAGCAAAGGCCAACAACTATCCCCCGACACTGGAGAGAAGGTTTGCAAAGTTTTGGGACTTGTGACAAAATCATGCAAAGCCTTTACCACAAAATTCTAGTGCACTAGTACAGAGAGGACAGTCATCCTAAAGACCTTTATAGTACAAATAGCAACATAATGTGTCAGAAAATACATTTTGTTTTGCAAAACATGCCTCCACCAGCATCAGCTGTTGGGCCTCTTTCCTTCCAAGAAACATTGCGGTGCCTGGCTTCAAGATTTTATGCCATTTTTAAAAGGCATGGCTTGCTCATGGCCAGGATCAGTCGCTCACTGTGAGCGCTCCTGAATTACCCCTAATATTTTTCCAGGCAACACCCCTATAATCACCATGTGGAACCCTTGTGTTTAGTGGGGGTGGGCCACAGACTCTTAGTTTGCCATCATTCTCGACCAATATAGGCAAGAGCATAGGCAACTTTTTCAGCTGACCAAATGACTCCTCCGCAACTCTGCGTGCATCCAAGATGGTGTCTGGACCTACTGCCTTGGGGACATCCTCTCCCCCACTACATACAGAGCAGGCAGCCTTGGAGCACTCCCTGGTAGTGGGTTAAGCCGGCCATCCATGGACTGAAATTCACCCAGTTCAGGAGGGACTGGCTGAATTTCAATAC